TTTTTTTTTTTTTTTTTTTTTTTTTTTTTTTTTTTTTTTTGAGAACATAGAACATTCAATAAAACCTTTTTAAGGATCTACCTACCAAAATGGCTGCCATACATTGGCTTGTGGTCAGCGTCTTAGTCGTATCTTTGCACATGCGCACAACCAGTTGTGGAATAATCGACGACCAAGCGTGTTTAAACAACGTCCAAAGAGACTGCCAATGCGATATTGAAGTTAGTGGTGATGAAGAAGAAGATAAAAAGCTCTGCAATAAACTTCAGGTAGATGCAACCCTCAAAACCAAGAGTCGGGAATCCTTTATCAGTTCCCACCGTCAACGCAAAATGCACGTAGTTTGGTCAGAAAAAAATATTTAATTAAAATCTAAACCAACTGAACAAAAATCCAGCAAATTAAAACAAAGCAAAGCAGAAAACATGCAGGGCGCTGAACTAGAATCAAATTCTTGGAACGGACATTTGGAGGATCAGCACACATTTTCTGTAATTTTGGCAGGGTTTGAATGCTCATAACATTGTCCTTCAAAGGTCAAACAACCTGAAACTTGGTCAACAAGCTTGCTGTATATTGCTCTTTCATGTGATGTGGTATATTTTGGACCTAGTGCCTTGCTTGTTGCTACCAACGATAACTGGAGATTATCTTGATAGTTTAGATAAAGTCATCTCAGTGTTTGAAATATAAACTCACTATTTGTTTTTTCCTAATCTTTCAAAAAGTCCTGTGCTAATTGTATGGCGGTGCCAAGGTGTGAATCGGTCTTCTTATATCAGTTCCGGTCCCTGCTACGAACTACTATTGTCATGAGCCAAACGACAAAGATTTGCCCAAATATACACTACGAGGACCTCGATAAAGGTATAGAGGATATTACATGGGCGCGCGGAGATACGAATTTTATCTTCGAGTGTTCAATTGATATCTCACGAGTGAGCGCAGCGAACGAGTGAGATAACTAAATTGAACACGAGAAGATAAAACTGCGTATCTCCAAGCGGCCATGGTGTTCTGTTTATTATATAGATATCGATGAAACTTAGATAAAACAGATAATGAGGTACAAATTAAAGACCATAATCAGCTAGTTCAAACCCAACAATACTGGTTGTCTGTTGATAACACACAAATGTGATGTTTACCACACATATACAGTCCTTTGACTAAACGTTGTCGTTGATCGGATCATCCCTACGCGCCTAGACCGAAAAGGATAACGGATAAATTACCCAGAACTTGCGTCATTCAAACTGCTTGCCAGTTTAAATCTTCGCCGTATGCTCGAGGCATGGTTTTAGCAAATTAAATGGGATCGAAAAAAGCGAGCTCAAGACGTGTTAGATAACATATGCGGCAGCTAGTAACTGTGAATTAATTATCCCCATGATCCTTTTCTGTCTAGGCGCGTAGGGATGAAGCCGATCAAACGACAACGTTTAGTCAAAGGACTATATGTAATCAGACAGTACATTCGTTTCTGCGTTTTGAGTTTTACACTTGGGGATAATTGAAGACAAATTCTGATGATTAACTTCCAGAGGTGGTGTTTGACGATTCAAAACCCCACTCCCTCCCGCCACCATCACCCCCCGATATCCACAACTGTATAAACAAGGCCATATAGACACGAATCAAGGTTCATTTTGACTTCTTGTATTTCTGCTTACTTTAAAGGTTTGCAGAAATCCTGTAAAGGAAATGGAATAGTCTACGATCGTTGTGGACGTCAATGCGAATGCTATGCGGGATTTTACACCAATTGTTTTCGGGTTCGCAAGGAGTTCACCCAAATGAGCTTTGAGGAACGTCGTCGGTTCGTTAATGTATATTACAAAGCAACAACAGACCCATTCCTCAGAGACGACTTCCAAAAGATATTGTTTTCCCACTCAGAAATACCTTCCGATTTTCTACACCACATGCCGCAGATATTCTTTCCTTGGCATCGATGGTTTTTGCTACAAGCCGAGAACTTTCTTCAACAAATTGATTGCCGAGTTACTATACCTTACTACCAATGGACTGCAGCAGGAAAGAACGTCTGGAGAAGTACTAATCCAAAAGATGTGTGGAGTGGAGGTCCGCAAGGACTTGGGGGCAACGGTGTTCCACCGTCTTACTGCGTCCAGGATGGAAAGTTTAGGGAAGGGAATTGGCATTTGCCAGTTAGCAAAGGTAGAGGATGCTTGAAGCGAAATTTCGACAAAAAGTGCCCCTTGTACACCGAGAAAAAACTCCAAAAGCTATTGCGTTCAAAAACCTTTAAGCACTTTGAAGAAACTGTCCGAGAAGAGCTTCATAGCGCATTCCACGACTGCATCGGAGGTGACATGCCTGACAATAGAAAATCTGGTCACACTCCCGAAGTCCTGCTTCATCACGCCTTCATGGACAAGATATGGGACCAGTGGCAGAGCAAGAGTGACTGGCATAGGTACCAGTATTTTACGTCACTAAACTTCCGAATGCCAGTTGCTGATCTGTATCCATGGCAAGTACTTGACAGCCCTAACCTGCCTGGTGAAGTCGGTGTTGCGTACCAGATATTTAGAGAAACTGGAGCCGGTGATGCCGGTGATGCCAGAGATGAAGAATTTTGGGTTGAACCGATTACTGATGAATATGAACCGACAGTTGAAGATGAATCAATAGTCGAAGTAGAAGTACTTCCAGACGAAGAAGACAAATAGATGATGATCATCATCAACATCATCATTATCCGGCATCAACAACATCATCATCATCATCATTAACATCATCATTAACATCATCATTAACATCATCATCATCATCATCATCATCAACATCACCACCACCATCATCATTATCAGCAGCATCATCATCATCATCAACATCACCACCACCATCATCATTATCAGCAGCATCATCATCATCATCATCAACATCATGGTTATCATTATCATCATCATTATCCGGCACCAACATCATCATCATCATTATCACTATCATCATCATCATCATTATCATCAACATCATCATTATAATTATCATCATCATTATCCGGCATCAACATCATCATCATCATTAACATCATCATCAACATCAACATCATCATCAGCATCATCATCGACATCATCATCAACATCATCACCATCATTATCATCAACATCAACATCATCATCATCATCAACATCATGCATCAACATCATCATCATCTTCATTATCATCCACATCCACATCCACATCCACATCCACATCCACATCCACATCCACATTATTATCATCATCATTATCATCATCATCATCATCATCATCATCATTAGCTAGTTTTCCATGTCCTTTGAAATGCCAAGTCTTCACTAATTTGAACTGACTAATTTGATTCATTAACTGAATATTTATACCCCCTTTCCCCACAAATTGCATTAAGAGAGAATTCTTTTCGTATATTCAATCGGTGCCAAAAACTATTTTCTTGAATAAAGGCTGTTGTACAAGGCTAAAATCTTGTTATTCAGAAAGTTTAACTTGTTTGGAAGTGGAGATGACCTATGAAAGTGGAATCAAAGTGTTAACCCAAAGCAAAAATTTTATTGGAAAATGAGGTTTAGGCCTTCATTTGCTTATTTCCCATATATTTTCTATAAAAAAAGCCTGACAAAGCAACATTCTAACACAAACGCAACAAAACATCTTTGTACAATTGAAAATACCGTTTCAAACAGGCATTTTATCATAGTACATCAGTTTCTAACTGTTAAAAAAGGTTTTGAATGTTAACCCAAAACGAAAATTGGGATCAAAACTCATACGAAGATCTAGTTTTTGGCGCTTTTTGGCGCTTTTTTCCAATATTGCTCGTCATTGAAAAAAATTTCCTCATATTTTACATAACGGATTCGATTTGGATGGTTTTATAGCAAGACTTCTTTGTAATCTTAAAGTATCTAAAATTAAAATGGATGACGTCTGCCGGTGAAACAAAGCGGAAACTTCACTACGGTCTGCTAGTAATTGTTCTTTAAATTTCAGTGACCCGTTACTTAAATTAAAATAAAAATATTTAAAGCCCAAATAGAATTTTCTATTTTTCCGCAATGCGTGTAGAGTAGCACACTTTGCCAAACTTATTTAGAACGAGCACTTTTGAGCTTTTCGTCCCTCAAGAGTAGTGTACCAAAGGTAAGACCAGAGAACTAGAAATATCTACTAATTTACTAAAGAAAAAAACATGAAAATTCTATACCTATTGAATCGTAAAACTTTGCGACAGCAAAGTTCAAAAATTCATTTTAAAAAGCTGAGATATACACACGAGACGATGTTGAGAGCATTCATTAATGTCTTTCTCTCGGTAGATAGGTTCTACCTGGGAAAAACTGTCATATATTTACTAGAATGCTAACCATGTATCCGTGAAAACGTTTTGAACAAATCGATCAAAGTCAGTGCAAAGTTTTTTTAGGATTCTGAGATCTACTGAACTTACTAATTTGTGGAATTAATGCATGTGTGCATTTTCTTACAATGAAAGTTTTTCGCACGGATATATCGTGGTTTAAAACTCTATCCTCTATCCCTACACAATTGCAGAAATTGCCATGAAAAACGATATGACAGATTATATTAATACTCAATTTTCCAGGCAATTTATGAGAACGTAGACCAATTTTTTCTCAGACCGTATTCTGTGATAGCCATTAAGTTACTTTATATGGCTCTTATTGAATTGATTTTATACTTTGCAACTGTCCAAAGCTAGGGATTTCTGTTCACTTTATTTTCAACTTTCTTATTTAAGTTTCTTTATTTGATTATACATATAAATTTGATAGGTTTTCGCCATTACTGACTGAACTAGTCAAACCCTAATAAGTGGCTGAAGTGTATGGTATATCGGCTAGCTCAGTTCCGTATACGCACAGACCGCTCATGTTGAATTTAACTGTGCATTTAGACAATTTCGTAAATTCCCTTTTCAAAAGCAGTGAAGGTTTCAATACTACAGGGCCCAGTCGTACAAAGGGTGGATAGCGCTATCCAACGGATAAATCCTTATCCAGTGGATAAAAGTCGCGTGATGGCTGTTGTCCAAAAAAATTATCCACTGGATAAGATTTATCCGTTGGATAGCGCTATCCACCCTTTGTACGACTGGGCCCAGTAGTTCTAACGAAGAAAACATATCACATTTTCAATGAATATTTGGCATTTTCCTTAGTATTTGTCCTCTGAATACTATATTTAAATTTAAAGTCTCGGTAAAACGTTGTCGGGTCATTGCGCACATACAAATTAATAACTTTATCTTGCCAAAACATTTTTATAAGTGAAATATAATCAAAGATTTCTATATTGAACTGTTTTCCCTGCCTGGTCAAATTCAACTACATGAACGCGCCAAAGTTATCGTTCATGATGATATTCCAACTTCTGAGGCTGTCTCGCCCAAGCGGAAATTTCGATTTCATTTATACTCTGTACAAGAAGCTCAAGAGGTATGTCTTTAAAGTCCTTACTACTCGAGGACTTCACTCCGTCGGCGGCATTCCATTATATTATCAATGTAACTGATGATTTATAGAACAGTAATTCTTATATTATTCATGCCAAAAAGTGCAGAATTATCGTCAATAAATAGGACAGGAATTCAACGTAGATTTGTACAACAAACGTTGAGGGGCCATTGGTCGAGAAGGCATGCGATTGATTCGCATCGGAGTACTATTTCGCTATAAATTGTAATAATTTGCTTACAATAAAGACATAACGTGCTAGAAATCGATAAGAGTAAGTTGAATTTCGACGTAAATTAGTTTGTTTGCTTCGCTTAAAAGTTAAAGTTTTTCACTTAAACTTGAGAAATTTAACCCGAAAAAAAAAGGTAATTTTAGTATTTTTTTCACTTCATATCGCAGCCAAAAAGAATTTCTTTTTGGCAGGTTATCATTATATTCTGTTATGCTTATTGATTTTAATTGATTCTTAACCATGGCTCAATGTTATAGCTACCGAAAAATATTAATTATCGGCATATATCGTCATATCTGCTTGAGAGCTCAAACATAACATGATTGAAAAGGAAAAATTTTTTAATTGATCTATAAGAAGACGAATTTCGAATTGCATTAAATCAAAAATTCAATGGGGAAATGTTGAATGTGGTATGTAAAAATGTCGAAATTGAACTTGTCCAACGAGAGATCACTGAAGAAAAATTTAATCGAGGCCGGTGCAATAAAGCCTTAGACGCACGTCTTGCTATCAACGCGCGTGGGTTCTGGGAAAAACAAAGGTCTGATCTAAGATGTTCGGGCTTGCCACCCTTATGCAGAATCTTATAAAGATCTTGTTCCCCAACAAATCTATCACCTACATGAGAACGAGAAACGAATGCACTCAAAACGAGTGCGGGACATTGAACAGGGATCATTCACACCATTAAAGTCTTTTCTACCACTGGAGGTATGGGAAACAAATGTTTGAGATATCACAGTGGACTAGCTGAGCTGATTGCTATCAAGAAAGGTGAACGCTACAGCAAAACTATTTCATGGATTAGAGCCAAAGTCTCATTTTCAATATTACGATCTGCATTATTACGCCTAAGGGGTTCAAGAACACTTAGGAGAACATTTTCTAATATTAAAAACATTGATTTAGATGTTGAAACCGCAGTTGGAGCCATTTGTTAACTTTATTATTTTTTAAATTTATGAGATATATCCTTTATCTATTTCAACATCAACATGTGAGTTGAGCGTTGTGTGCATAGGA